GCCTTCTTCTTCTCCTCTTCTGCTGCCGCTGCTGCTTCCTTTCTCTGCCTTTTCTTCTCTGCTGCTTCTGCTTCTGCTTTCCTGGTAAACTCCTCTGCTTCCTTCTCGATCCTTTCTCGTGCCTCTTTGATCTTCCTTTCCTCCTCTTCTTCTCTTGCCTTCTTTTCCTCTCTTTCCTTCTTCTTCCTCTTCACTTCCTCATCCACGTTTGCCCAGTGCGCTTTGTCGTCTTCGTCTCGTGGCTGGAAGGGCTGGTGTGGTCGGCTTCCTTTTCCTGCCTTCTCGTAAGCTTCCTTGCCTTTTCCTTTCTGGTGCTTGTACTTGTAGTCGTAGTTCCACCAAATCTTCTCTCCTGTTTTGTGGCTTTGCCTGTAGATGTGGCCTCCTTCGCTGTAGTACTTGTATTCCTGGCTCTTGTCCACACGTGGCTTGAAACTTTTTTCCTGTTCCTTTCTCTTTGCTTCCTTCTGGGCAATGTCTGCCCTTGCCTTTGCCAAGAGTCTTTTCCTTTCCTCGTCGTACTCTTCCTGTGTCTCTTTCCTCTTTGGCTTTCCTTTTTTTTCCTTCCTCCTTTGGCCTTCCTCTGGTTCCTCTGTCCATGCTTCTCCTGCTTCTTCCTCTGAGATCTCGTAGGACTGCGTGTAGTACTCGTTCTCGTTCTCCTCCATTGCTTCCTGGGCTTCCTCTTCTTCCTGGAGCTTCTCGAAGTAACCGCGGTCGCTGTACTCGCTGAGGTCCTCTTCTCCTTCTTCTTTCCTTGTAGGTGACGTAGAAGTCCTTGGTCCACGGTGGCCTTCCATCCTAGCTCTTCCTTTAGCTTTTCCTGCTCGTCAGTACTCTTCTCTTCCCTTTTCTTCCTCTTCTATGAACTCATCCCATCTTCCTTGAAGTTCCTTGAAGTTGGCCTGGTGCTCCCCGGCTTGGGCCATCTCTCTTTGTCGTTGAGTCAGGGTGATCTGGTGCTGATGATGAGGCAGATGATGGAGGTGACGCAAGCAGCAAGCACGGCTGCACAGGCGGCTCTTGCCGCTACGCGATCTGCTGACCGAACGGGGCAAGCTGGGTCCGATATGGCTCGGCTGCTCCCGACGCCGGACATCTTCAAGCCAGCAGAGAAGCAGAGCACGGAGAGTGGAGTTCCTGGCTGTGGACGCTGAAGCAATACCTTGGAGCCTTGGATGCCAGCTTCACAGATGAGCTGACATTCATTGAAAGGAATCCGACTAGTGATCTGACTGCAGTGCCATACGCGAGTCTTGAATCGGAAAGGCGTTCGAAACAACTCTTCGCGCTTCTTTCGAGTCTTGTAAAAGGCAGGGGCTTGCAGATAATCCAGCGGATTCCAGTGCGGAACGGCTTGAGGCCTTGCGCCAGCTGGTGCAGTTGTACCAGCCTGCATCCAAGACGCGATCGCTTGGCATCCTCAGTGCGTTGACTAGCATGGGGCACTTTCGTGCCGGTGAACCGTTGCTGCCGCAAGTGTTGGACATGGAGAGAATCATGGACGAATATGAACGCAGCAGTTCTAAGAAACTTGACGACGATTTTAAAGCAATCATCTTTCTTAGATCGGTGAGCAACAACATGCGCAATCATTTGGCAACAGTCTTGAGTGAGGACGTTACGTACAACACGCTGAGGGAGACTGCCTTGCACTTTGAAAGGATGAATACTAGATGGGATTCCAAGAACTTGTTTGCAGGTGATAGTTTGTTTCCCAAGGGCCGTGCTTCGCAGGAAGGCCCGGTCCCCATGGAGGTTGATGCTTTGCAGCGCAAGGGCAAGAAGGGAAACAAAGGTGGCAAAGGCAAGGGCGACAAAGGTGGAAAATCGTCAGGTGGAAAGTCCAGCAAAGGTGGCAAAGGCAAAGGCGACAAAGGCGGAAAATCGGCAGGTGGAAAATCCAGCAAAGGTGGCAAAGGCAAAGGTGACAAAGGGTCAGGTGGCAAAGGAGACAAGAGGAATGTTGAGTGTTTCGCATGCGGCAGAAAGGGCCACTACCAGTCTGAGTGTTGGTACAATGGGAAGGGCTCAGGCTCAGGTCGCAGCAATGTTCATCAGGTTCAAGGCAGTGATGCAACGAGCACCTTCAGTGTCGCAGGCTGGAGCTCAGAGCAGTAGCAGGAATGTGCATCGAGTCGAGCTTGCAGTCGAGATCGACATGACCAGCGATGATGTGCCGCAGGACAGCCCATACGTTGTTTGTGCAGTCACGAGTGGAGACTCAGGCATGCCGAGGTGTACGGGGAGCCATGAAGCCCAGGGTCTGTTGAGCTTTCAGGATCTTGTCAAGGTCTTAGCCGTCTTAGCCCTTAACCCGCACGGGTACCCTAAGCTCCCCAACCTTCAGCCTGTTGTCACGACTGCAAACTTGGGCGCTTGTGAGTGTCACGACATGACACGGACCGATGCTGACAATGTTTGGACAGTTTGCGACGGTGAGTGTATTGACTTGATGAGAGATCAGTCCAACACTGCGATGTCAGAGGCCGACGTGAGAGATCAGTCCAGTCAGCATGTTCAGAGGATGCGTTTCTGTGTGCCGTACAGAGTTCTGAAGCCACTGACATAGAAGTCGTTGTGGACTCAGGGTCCGATGCATCATGTTTGCCAGTGTCATGGGCAGGCATAGGCAGGCCAGGCGGCACAGACTCCCAGTGGTACCGCGATGCCCAGGGTCGCCGCATTGCGGGACGTGAGATGCGCACAGCCACGATTGAGATTGGCGGTGTGAAGTTTCGCGAGCAGTGGCTCCTTTCTTCGGTCACCCAGCCGTTGTTCTGTGTTGGAAAGCTGATGCGCAAGAATGGTTGGGACATCATCCATGATGGCGCAAAAGTCCCTTACCTCACGAGTCCTGATGGCTCCACCAGAGTGCCGCTGTTCTACAAGAACTACAGCCTGCATGCACGAGGTTCTATCCGAGGTGTGTTTGGGCAAGACAACATCACCGAGCCGGCAATACGAGCACTTGAGGTGACGGGCCCATGGCTTGAGTTGAATGATGCGTTTCATGAAGTTGCCCCGCAAGTGTATGCCCGGCGTGACAACACGGATTGCTTTCTTGATTGCGGTGATGCTCTTGCACACCTTGGAGTGCAGTGCCGAACTACGGTCAGGCAAGACAGCCTAGGCTGGAATGTGGTTGAGTTCAATCAGGATGTGACTTTGCTTGAGCAGCCAGAGGCTGAGTTCGAGCCCAGGCGAATCCACCAGACAATCACGATTGGTTGCGTTGGCAAAGTTGAGATAGATGCTCTCTTCAATCGCAAGCCCAGGCATGTTCCGCCTGCACCAGATGATGATGCCATGCTTGATGACGGGCTTCCAGCGCTCCCTGAGGAATGCGCCGGTGATGCTATCGATCAGGATGAGCTTCTTGCTGGCATAGATGATGCAGTGAATGCAGAGGCCGAAGCAGCAGCTGGTGAACAGCAGAGCCGACAAGGCCACATCGTTGTTGATGGCGTTGAGCTTCATGAAGGCTGCAACCTAAAGACGATCAGAGCTGCATGCCAGGCCTTAGGCGTAGGCAAAAGTGGAGGCAAATCTACTTTGCTTGCAAGGATTGCCAGCCATCTTGATAAGCAGCGGCTGCTCGAGAAGCATCAGGTTGAGTATGATTCCATCGCCAGCCGGCAGCAGCCGAGGGAGCAAAGGCCAGTCGAAACGCCAACACCAGAGCAAGTAAGGCTACACTCGCTGTCACACATTCCGTTTGCACCATGGTGTGAACACTGCTTGAAGTTCCAGGCCAGAGCGGATAAGCATACCAAGGCGCGTCCAGAGACGCGCGAGTGCAGTGTTTGTGCATTCGACTACTGCTTCACCGAGCGGCCTACTGGAGATCGCGGCCAAAAGCTTATCTGCCTTGTGGCCAAGGACAGCCACACCGGAGCAGCGATTGCAATCCCGACACCGGCCAAAGGTGGAGCAGTGCCTTTCAGGTTCCTTGTTGCAGAGCTTTGCAAGTTCATAAACTTTTGTGGCCATTCTGAGATTACCCTGAGATCCGATGGCGAGGCCACATGTCGTGCCCTGCAGCAAGGTGTGAAAGACTTGAGAACAAAACTGAAGCTTGTTACCCACCTTGAGCAAACAGAAAAGGAGGACCACCAAGGCAACCCAGCAGAACAGGCCGTAGACCAGCTCCGACAGCTCACTGGCACCCTCTTGTCACAAGTTGAGGAGGCAACAGGGAAGCAGGTCGCAACATTGTCCCCGTTGCATGCTTGGTGCTGGCGGCACGCTGGATGGCTGCAGATGCGCTACTCGCGCACAGGCGCAGCAAGCCCTTTTGAAGTGATAACGGGCAGGCCATACCTTGGAAAGATTGTCAATTTTTCTGAAGTTGTTTATGCCAGGGTTAAGTCTTCGCTTAAGGGCAAAGCCAGGTGGATCAAAATGATGTGGTTAGGAAAACTTGCAGTGTCTGATTTGCATTTTGGAGTGACACAAGGAGGTTTCTTGATTTCCAGTCGTAGTGTGCGCAGGTTGCCCCAGCAGTACGATGCAAAATTTCTTGAAAGCCTTCGCGACCAACCGTGGTCACAGGCCAGCTTCCTGGCGGGGCAAAGCGGCCAAACCCGGCTGCAGAAAACCTTTCAGGGTCAGTCTGATCAGGCAGCCGAGGAGGCACCAGCGCCAGAGGTTGTTGAAGATGAGGGTCCGCAGCCCATGCCGTATCCCGGGCATGTGGTAGCAGATGATACTTTGTTGTCCGACCTTGTGCCGCCGCCGCCGTTGCTGCGAACGCCAGAGCCGCCTACTCCTTCCAATCCCAGTGCCGTGGCACCGGCCCATATGTTGCCCTCCCTGACGCCCGTGCCGCCTGAGACAGCATCACCTGTGCCAATGTTGGTCGAGCCGAGTGCAAGTGCTGGCGGGGATGAATCCACAGCAGCTGGCGGGGATAGTGCACCAACACCTGAAGGCTCCACCGGAAGCCTTCCTACTAGTGGCACTGTCAGAGCGAGGCCAGCAGATGCGCCAGCTGATGCACACGTGCCGCCACGCACGAAGCGGCTTCGACTTGATGCTGTTCAAGCAAGTGCACACGATGCTGAGATGTTCCATCATGATGAGCCGCCAGAGCTCTTTGATGAGGCCGCCGAGGAGTTTCTTGACTGCGAGATTGAGCAGCCCCAGGATTGGGATGATGCTGAGGCCACTCCCGAAATCCCAGCAATCCTCATCAGGCCTGAGAGCGAGAGCGAGCCCGTTTGCAGTGCATGCCATAGATGCTGCAGCAGATGCTTTTGAGCTTGCACGGTTGACAAGCGTTGGAGTGCTTGAGCAATGTGAGTGCTGGCGTGAGGGCCACCGCAGCTTGTCATCAAAGTACGTCAGGAGCTGGAGACTGAAAGTGTTGAATGGTGAGAAAAAGTGGCTGCGGCGTTCACGCCTAGTAGCTCGGGAGTTTGCACACCTTGATCCTGATCGACAACACCTTTTTGCACCAACGACCACCCAATGCATGCTGAGAATCGTGCCGGCATTGTTCATCCGAAACTTTGGTGACAACTGGGCTCTCCTGAGCCTAGATGTGTCTGATGCTCTTCAATGCCAGCAACAGCATGCAACCTTGACTAAGGTAGATGGGTTTTGGTACAAGTTGCACAGAATGTTGCCGGGGCAGAGAGATGGTTCGGCAACGTGGTTTGCTGATTTCATGCAAGAGGTCAAGACAGCAGTGTCAGCTGAGCCACTGGCAGAGCAGCCAGTACTGTTCCGCATCCCGCATTCGGAGCAGTCTGTGACCGGCGCAAGTGCCGAAGGAGCCGGCATGATCCATGTTGACGACATGCTAGCCGCCGGGCTGGTGTGGCGTCTTGAAGCCTTAGAAAAGCACCTAAAAGGAAAGTTTAAGGTTTCTTCTGATTGGATTCGGGAAGTTGGTGATCAGGTTACTTTCTTGAAAAGGCGCCACATCCTTGTAAGCCCGACGCTTCTTGTGATTGAGCCAGATGTTAAGTACCTTGACAAACTCCTTCAGGTGACTGGGCTCTCAGGAGCCAAAGAGAGATACAAGGCAGCCCCGTTTCCCACCGGAGGGTTGCCAACTGACCTTGAGTCAGACCGTGACCTCGACCCCACTGCTGCGACGAGGTACAGGTCAGCGTTAGGCATCCTCATGTACTTGAGTGCAGATCTTGTGGCATGTCTTTGAATGCTTTAACAAACACAAACGCGGCAGCCACGTGTCGCTCGAGGGATGTGGTGGCAAGTCGCCCTTCCCAGTCTGCTCTCGTGGTTGCAACCCTGCCCTCGTACTTCAGTTGCTGAGACCATTTTGTTCGGAGGGGTGTGCTGGGTCTCTGGGTTCCTTACTGGGGGCCTGCTTGCCGCTTTCCTGATCTCGGCTAGGTGTCGTCACATTGCTTGGGTTTGTGTCAGTGAGTTCCTAAGAGGGCCACCCATCCTATCGCCTGAAGAGCGCATAGCTGCCTACCGCCGCCACTGAGTGGCGCATGAGTGCCAGCTGCCCTACTTCTGCGCGTGTGACGGTGAAAGTGGAGGTGACCGTGCCCCTCCCAGCAACCTCGGCATCTGTGACGGTGTCTGAGGAGGCGACTGAGTGGGTAGTGGTTGAGAGATCCCCGAGAAAATTGCTCCCAGCTGTGTGCTCGCGCTTGGCTACCAGACTCTCCTCGAAGGCTAAAAGCACTCCGAAGGATCGCGTGGAAGCGGCCTTTGCTGCCGGCTTGCGTAGCGAGTCGCTTTTGGAGGCAGGGTCTGAGCCTGAGACCCCTCCTTCCGTGGGACTGCAGAACACTTGCTGGGTTGGAGTACAGTCTGCGAAGCACACTTGGTGGACATCTCGGCGACCCACTGCAGACAAGATCTTGAAAGGAGAGCCCGAATCTTGGCTTCTCCCCTTTGCATCTCAAGCCGAGGCTGAGGCCTGGTGTTTGGGTTTGGGTCTTCACGGCTTGCCGGATCGTCGTTGAGATGCCCTTGCGGGTACTAGGTGCCAAGAAAGCTGCCAGCCTACCCCTGGCAGACGAGGAGGATTCAGAATGGCTGATGTTGAAGCTGGAGCCCCGGAACATAGGGGCCTTGCCGGTGCTGCGTCGCGAGGGGGGACTCCTGTTGGCCGTGGCTGCCTCGGCCCTCACGACCGAGGAGCTCGATTCTCGCAAGATTGTGGGAGTAACAGACGATCTGGGCTTGGTGGGTGAGGTGGATGTGCGCGCCACTTTGACCGATGCCCAGCCAGTGGAAGTATCACTGTTACTCTTCGATTGGCCCAGCACCTTGAACAAGTACCTACGATGGGGGGTTCCAGAAACATGGCCTCCGCACACGGTGCTACCCACCCATGGGACGTCAACGGAGGTGACCTTGGATCGTGCTCATTTATGCGACGTGGCTCGCGCATGGGTGGAAGAGGGTCAGATGGCTTTTTCCGAGGCTTATTTGACTGGTGTGGATGGAGAGCCGCTGGAACCGCCTGCCCAGGTATCCAACGATCTACTCAATCAACTCCTCACGCAGATGCAGGATACCGCCAAAGCAGTGGCAGGTCTGCGCTCCGAGATGGATGCAGTCAAGCAGGGGGCCTCTTCCTCAACGCCTTCGCCGAAACCTACTGGAGTCAACTCGGGAGCCTTAGCTCAGGTGCAGGCGTTGGCGGGACCAGTCCCTCGTACCAAGGCCCGTGCCCAAACGGCAGAGGCAGCCGGGGTGGGGATTCTCGGAGACGACATGCCAGAGGCCGAAGAGGAGGACGAGGACGAAACCAAGTCCACCGACGCGCTGCTCAAGATGGCCTTGGTCAAGCTCTTGGCAGGGGAGGGCAAGACGAAGAAGAAGAAGAAGGAGACTCCTGCTGGGCTTCCGCTGCCTCTTTCGGGATCGGAATCCGAAGAGGACGATCCGCTGCGGAGGTTGTCAGGTGCGAAGGGCACCATGCTCCTGGAGCGTCTGAGGAATTCCATGGAGACCTCTCCCGAAGCCTACAGCAATGCCATCGAAGCCCTAGCGGCGCAAGTGTTGGGCGAGGCGACCGCCGGAAGCACCACCATGGAACGGTATGCCCGAGAAGAACTCCCGCTGTGCAGCGAAAAGAGTTTGGGCTACGCCACTTGGATTATGACTCGTGCATGCACCTGCCTAAAAGCAGGTCAGGCCGAAAAGGCCCGGTTGATTCTGCTTCTAGGCCTAGCGGCAATCGAACAATTCAAGTTGGATGGGAATTGGACGGCCGCCTGGCGCCTGACACAGCTCAGCCAACCGCCTTTTGCGGAGTGGAAGGCTCGCGAGCCGTACATGTACCAGTTGCGCAACGACCACGCGCACTCGCGGTTGGTCCACCCTACGTGGGCGGCCGCGGTGGTCGCAAAGTTGCGGGACGAGGAAGTCCTGGTGAAGCGCCGGTTCAAACAGGAGACTCCCCCGAAGACAGACGACAAGCCGCCAAGAGGACGCGGACGAGGTCGCCCACCCTACGGCGACAGTGGCGACAAAGGCGCGCAGTGAGGCCTGATCGGCTTGAAGAGCCGGCCTCATGGCGCCAAGTGCCAAAGCATTTGTACAGACTTTTGACATGCAGCGGCACAAATTTTGCAAGATTCGTGCGTAGTTCAGCCCGCCAGGTGTGCCTTTCGGCCTTGCCTCCTGGAGAGCTTTTGCCGTGCCCTCTCCCCTTTCCTTGGCAGGTTTCAAGCATTGCAGGGTCTAGGCGCCGCCATCGTAGATGGACTGAGCGACGAGCCTTGGAGCTTACCGTCAACTTAGAGGTTGCAGCGTTGAACTTTTGCTTCCTAGGTATGCCTCGCCTGTGTCCACCACAAGGTTGCAGGGGAGAGCTGTCCGAGGAGCAATCCGCGATGATCCAAGGATTGTGGGAGCGAGCTCGCTCTATGAGCCGCCTGGTAGAGGATCTCTCTGTCGGTTGTGGCTCCAAAATTCGTGGTATTTCTGAAGAGTTAACGATAGTTGAGGGTCAGTTAGATTCCCTTAGGGAAGTTCTTTACGGGGCCCCCAAACGTTGCATGAGTGATCCTGCTGGAGCCACCTCCACAGTTGTGGTTCCCACTGTAGCCTCGAAAGTGGCCTTCCCGGACACCCTGCGAGGGTTCAATCCTTCACCCTACTTGTCGAGGGAGTTTAGGAGAGCCTTTGAGCGCCCGGATTCTCTTTTGCACGCGGAGGGGAGTCCAGGGAAGGCGCCACGTATAACAGTCAGCCGTACCGAGCTCTGGCATTTGATGTGGCGATGGGACGCCGTTGATAGACTATGTTTGGCCTTGGGGTCGGAATGCACTGAGAGTCACGTTTCCAATCTTTTCTGTTTGCAGAAGCCTGATGGCGAACTTCGTCAGATTATCGACCGAAGGCCCAGGAACGCTGCCGAGCAAGGACCTCCGCTCGAGGCCCCGAAGATGGGTCACGCCAGCTCTTTTTTGGGGATCATTGTGCCTCGCTCTGGATGCCTTAGAGGTTGTGTAGATGATCTTAGGAACTTTTACCACGAATTCTCGGTGCCTCTTGAGCGCGCTTTAAGTACGCCGGTGGGGCCCTTGTGGTGCGCGGGTGACTTTAAAGGGTCGAGGGCTCTTCGGTCATTGCAAGCTCGGCATCCTGAAGTTTCGATTTCTAATGGTTGCAAGGTTAGGGCATGCTTTGCCGGACTGTCCATGGGTGATCACTGGGCGCCTGCCCTGGCACAGTCAAGCCATGAAGGACTACTTAGGGCCTTTGGAGCGCT